AGCTTGTGAGCTGTGTTGCAGGCAGGAGCCTTGGTGGGGTCAATGCAAGCTAGAAAAAAGATTTTCATACTCTAAAGAGCTGAAAGAGTCCAGCGCAGGGCCACAAGGATGATCAAGGGAGTGGAGGATCTCCTGCTGAGGAGCGGCTGAGGGAGCTGGGGCTCTTTAGCTTGGAGCAGAGGAGACTGAGGGGTGCCCTCATTCATGGGGATCAATTTGTAAAGGGTGAGTGTCAGGAGGAAGGAGCCAGGCTCTGCTCTGGGATGTCCAATGCCAGGACAAGGGGCAATGGGAGCAAGCTGGAACATAGGAGGTTCAACCTGAACATGAGGAAACACGTTTTCCCTGTGAGGGTGCCAGAGCCCTGACCTGGCTGCCCAGAGAGGTTGTGGAGTCTCCTTCTCTGCAGACATTCAAAACCCCTGGCCGTGTTCCTGTGTGACCTCCTGTGGGTGATCCTGCTCTGGCAGGGGTTGGGCTGGGTGAGCTTTCGAGGTCCCTTCCAAATCCTGAGATTCTGTCATTCTGTAAAGTGACTGGCATTTATAGAGAGCGCCTTGAAATGTTATTTAAATATGGCTTCTGATGATAAGAAGTTCTTCTGGCAGAGGTGGGTCTGGTCGCTCCATGAAGCGTCCCTGGAGCCTGCGTTTGGAGGCAGGAGGAGAGCGGTTGGCATCACCAGGGCCGTGCTGTGCTGCTGCCGATTGCTTGAGGGGTGGTGTGCGCAAACCATGGCTCTGACAGCACTTAGGGATTTTTTTCACATTAACTCTCCTTGCTAATGTGAAAAAATGATGAATTTTAAAAATAAAATGGTCAGTAGTATGAAGTCATGGACTGCTAGCAGCTAACACACTCAACTGGTGTGCTTTTCTTGTCTGATTCTGTTAGTGTACTTAATTGCCATCAATATCAAAATATGAATGGCAATCAGTATTTTATGACAACTGGTGTGCTTTTCTTGTCTGATTCTGTTGGTGTAGTACTTAATTGCCATCAATATCAAAATATTAATGGCAATCAGTATTTTATGGAGTTAGGTATTATACTGATGTACAATATTGCTACCTTCCTGCAGTCCTACTTCTGATTTGTGTTTAGGCAATACACGTGATATCTTTCCTCAAAAGAGATTTCATGTAAACTCTATTTTCTATTTCAGGTTTATGCAAACTTTATATTTCAGTTACTGTTACAGAAATTGTGGCTATGATTTTTTTTTAATATTTTGCTTTAATGGATGGGAAAGCCTCCTGGAGCTGAGGGCATGGGAACACTGTTCTGGCTTCCACTGAGCTGGATTGTTCTAAATGTCACCCCAAAAATATGGGGCACATTTTCTGCTGATGGGTAATGAGTACTCCATCACTTCCACTTCCCTTGCCACCACCCTACTCTTCGTTATTTAAGCTTTGAAACTTATACGGTTTTAAGGTTAACAAGAAAGACTTAGTAGTGTGCCAGCTCTGACAGAATGAAAAGAAAACATTCATGCTACTGTAAGAGAAATGACTCTTGAAGCAATAATCAGACAGATGAAAAAGATAAAAATTAAATGTTCAGTATTGCGATTCTTGGTTACGCGATCCTTCCTGAGACTCCAGATGTACAGACCAGGTTTTACTCTCTCTGTTGGAAAGGTAGCTCAGAACTGCCTGCTCAGAACTGTGCCTTGGGCTACATTTTCTTGGCTGCTGAACATAGGTATAGATCCAATTAGGCTGACACACACAAAAACTTGAGTCTGAGGACTAATAATACACAATACAACAGCGTCGGCTTCCTAAAAGAGAACATTAGAAAAAGTTTGGAAACCCTCAGAAGTGAAAAGAAAGCACCAGAGACATCTCTAAGTGTATGATCTTACCAAGCTCTTTATCTTCTCCCTAGTACCAGAGTAAAAATATCACTTTTCTAATGTTGCTCACCTTGGCTTTCCCTCTTTTGAACTGTGAGAAAGCACGCTGATTTTTTTTGCGTCTTTCATATTAAGCTGCCCTTCCTTACTCGCCCCTTCTTCCCCAATTCTGTTACATATCAAAGAGCTGGAGGTTGACCTTCATAACCACTAGAGTGAATCAGACTTCCAAAGACAAAATCAATCTGATCTACCTGACTTGACCCTAAGCAAGGTATTTAGCTGATGAGTAAGTCAGAACCAACATATCTTTTCATGTGCACACTTGTGCAATTATTTTTTTAAAGCAGTTCCTTTTAATAATAACACCACCTTCTCTAGTCTAACTTGCCTGAGC